CTTATGCTTCTCCATGCTTTTGTGATTGTTATTTATCTTTTCTCCTTTTCTCTGTATAGGATCTCTTCAAATGTCTTCTTTAATGCTGGTTTTATGGTCATGGATTCTTTTATATTTATGTTGGAAGTTCTATATTTTGATATTGAAAGATAACTTTACTGGATATAATAAACTAGGTTATAAATAACTAGTTATTTATAAATAATAAACTAGTTACAAATAAACTAGTTATTTTCTTTCCAGTTTTGAAATACATCCGTCTATGCCCTCCTTGGTGTTTAGTTTCTACATTTATGCATTACTGGTGCTTCTTTCCTACAACTTTCAATTTTCTTTGAAGAAGATGTAATGGAGAGATGATATTCTGGTCATGTCACTCACCTTCAGCATCTAAATGCCTTTGATACCTAAATGTCCATTTTGTCCCCAAATTTAGAAAATTTTGTTATTATTTTACTTGATAAGTTTCCTATACCTTCAACCTATATCTTGGTGCCTGCATCACCATTAACCATTTGTATGTTCAATTAAAATATATGTCCCATGATTGTGCGTCTGTTCATACCTCTGCCACTGATGGATAAATGATTCCTTATCAGAAAATAACAACTAGTTTCTATTTTATTTGGTTTCTGTACTTACTAAATAATTTTTTTGTGTGAACACTGTATTGACATGACTTTCAGTTGTACGGTCCTTTCTGTTTTTATGCTTCTCTATGTGTATTATTTTGCTCCATGTGAAGGTTGGATATAGTGTCATTGAACTTGAGACAGCTCCAGGTAATGAGAGAAGGAGGGAAGGAGGGAATGGAGAGAGGCATTGGAAACCTACCAAGTAAAATAATAGCAAGATTTTTTAAATTTGGAGACGATATGGACATTCTAGCCCACAAGTATGGATAAAGAAAAGGCATAGACAGGCCAGGCCTCTGTGGCTCATGCCTATAATCCTCGCTACTCAGGAACTGAGATCTAAGGGTCGAGGTTTAAAGCCAGACCAGACAGGAAAGTCCCTGAGATTCTTATCTCAATAAACCACCAGTAAACTGGAAGTGGTGCTGTGGCTCAAGTGGTAGAGTGCTAGCCTTCAGCTCAAGGCTAGCACTCTACCACTTGAGCTGAAGAGCTGAGGGACAGCGCCCAGACCCAGAGTTTAAGCCCCACAACCAACAAAAAGAAAGAAAGAAAGAAAGAAAGAAAGAAAGAAAGAAAGAAAGAAAGAAAGAAAGAAAGAAAGGAAGGAAGGAAGGAAGGAAGGAAGGAAGGAAGGAAGGAAGGAAGGAAGGAAGGAAGGAAGGAAGGAAGGAAGGAAGGAAGGAAGGAAGAAAGGAAGAAAGAAAGAAAAAGAAAGAAAGAAAGAAAGAAAGAAAGAAAGAAAGAAAGAAAGGGGAAAGAAAAGAAAGAAAAGGCATAGACAACAAGGGAATAGGTGACATATTCTTTGCCTGACTTATGTAACAGTAACCCCTCTGTTTTTAGCATGTTCAAAAAAAAAAAAAAAAAGGCATATAGGCAATCCTGCTACTGCCCCTCAGCCACAGAAAAGGACCAATATAGAGGGCAAGAATGGTCTGGAGGGAAAACTAACACCAGATGACTTCCAGCAGAAACACAAGTTTTAAACAAGAATAGGTGAGGTAAGGAAATATGTGCATGGGTGTGTGAACAGCAATGTCAGGGGTGTCTGAATAGACAGGTAGGCAGGACACTCAGTTGTTTGTGTGGCTTCACAATCTAGAATTATGTCTCTAGTGGAGATGGGACCAGGAAAATTCAATTCTCTCCCTGAGCCTATTCCTTATAATTAGTATCTACTGGGATTCCAAATTGTATGCTTACAACCAACACTTACGCTTTTGAAATATTATACTAATGAATTCTCAGGAGACGTAGACAGATAAAAAGAGCTATCTCTGTGAAAAGCTGCTTGTTTTCCTTGCAGGTAAGTATTTATGAGGAAAAAATTTGCTTAATGAATTCATCTCTGTTCATAAAAGAAACATATCCAGCAAATGTACTACACAAATGTACTATGGAAGTTTGTTGTTTCCTAAAATCTGCAGAAATAAACAGGTTTTTCAGCAAAGATCAATCAAGTTGAGTTTATTTCTTGGAAGGAAAAGACTACACAAGTCATTGCAGGGAAATAAATCTGTATAAAAGGCTGAGAAAGCAGCCTAAGACATTTCCCTTTTTTGAGATTGACTAGTGCCACCTTCTGGTAGTTGTAGATATTTCTCTTCATTTTCTTTCAGAGTGCTTATGCAATATTTTTAATTTTTTTTTTAGAATTTAAACAAAATGGGACATGTTTTAAAAGCTGAGTATAATTGAATAACAAAGCAAACAAACAATAGTCTATTTATTTCCTCTTCCTGTCTCTTGGCTCCCAGAGATGAACGCAATCTTTTCGGCTGGTTTTTCATGGGTTTATCTTTATGAATCACTTTAGAAAATGTCTTGAGCTGCTTTGATCCACCATTTATATAGATTATCCATTGACTTCAGTTTATTGAGACTGACAACCTAGCTTTCCTGATCCCCTGCCCCTATTAGACTAAACACTTACTTCATAATTTTGTTACCTAAACATATGTTTTTATTACTTAATCATCTAGACTTTCCAGCTCTCCCACATAAAACAACACTTTCTGGTGAACCTTTATTCTTTGCATAGACTATTCCATTAATCAATATATGCCTAATGTGTGTGTGTATGTGTGTGTGTGTGTGGCACATGCATCAGTCCTGGGGCTTCAACTCAGGGCCTGGGCATTCACTGTCCTTGAGCTTCTTTTGCTCAAGGTTAGTAGCCTACAACTTGGGTCAGGCTCCATTTCTGGCTTTTACATTTGTTTCTGTAGTGTCTCATAGACTGTATAGGAAGCTTCAAACAACAATCCTCAGTTCTCTTCCTTCTGAGTAGCTAGTATTACAGGCATGTAATATACCAATTTGGTAATTAGAAAATTGCTTCCTCAAAATCTAACCAAATCATCAGTATTCTGTTCCAACTCAGAAAATTCAAGTGAAGTCTATCATAGTTATTTTCCCCTTTCTTCCTCCTTGAAAGCTATAGTTTCTGAAATCTGCTTTAAGAGAAATGGCAAACAATTAGGAAAACTTTTCTCCCCAGATAGAAATAATGGTTTGGTTTTGAAATTCTGAACCAGAAATACTTTATACCTTGGTTTTCACCTCCAGCAGGTGCCTTTGGGGAAAGTAATTAATACAGCATTCTGAAATTACACCCTCTCACTCCTGAGTTTATGTATGTGGGAGCTGTGAAGGAAATGTCAGAGTAATATATACCAGGGTCACCTGTCCAAAGAAAGATGGTAAATTTTCCAAATGTCAACACTGGCCCTTGTTTTATTAGCCTCTGTTTAAAAGAAGCAAATTATAAGATGCAGAGTGAAAAAAAACACAGATACCTTCATGAGACTGAGGAAAATATTATTCCTTAAGGTGATATAAACAACCAAAAAATATTACAGACAAAACATAGGTTCCTAAGGCATCATGGACTGACTTGAATCCTCTTAACATATATGATGAAGACCTTCTCTGCCTCAGAACTTGATTTCTAGCTGAAAATAGTGTCATTTACGAAGCTAGGAGCTGAAATGAGGTCACAGCGGAATAAGCTAAGTCCTGTCCAGGATGGCAGGTGTCCTTATAAGGAGAAGGAAAGGACAAGGAACACAGGAATTCCCAGTGACGGCAGAGAAACCAGAGGGATCAAGCTACTGGCTAGCATGTCTGCTGGTTGTCACTTCAGGCTTCAAAGAGGCAAGAAAGACTCCAGTGAGTTTCCAGACAAGGGGCAGGGAGAGGGGTACACAGCCCTGACAATGAGCTAACAAACCTCTTCTCTTGACCCCATATGTTGTTTTACATCACTCCAAGAAACCAAGAGCTGAGCAATATTTACAAGAGTGGTTAAAAAAAATAGAAGAGGTTTATAAGGATAGAGGTTTAAAAAAAGAAAAGCATGAGATCGATCCTGAGTTCAAAGCCTACTACTGACAAAGAAACACAGAAACATTAAAATTGGAGGAAGAGTTCCATTCTGCCTGCCTTGATCTAGCTAATAGGACAGAGTAGATACATTTATATGAAAGAAAACAGATTAAAAAGCTGCGCCCAATGGAGGCATGGTGTTTGCAATTTTCACTCATTAGGACTAGCTAGCCAGTCATCATGGGAGAAGTAGAAATAAACCAGTTTCCACAAAGATGTGTGTGATGCAGCAGCCCATTTCCTTTGAAAGGCAGAACAGGAATAAGCTCTGGGCTCATCCTGAAGTTGACATGAGACAGATGAAGGGGATGGGTTGGGAGGGGATAATCAATGATCCCAAAGGGAACTTGGGCCAAGGAAGGCGGGAGGACCACAAGGCTGTCGCTTCAGTCGCTGTGGGGATAGAACCTGTCTTGTTCACCTGTACCACCAGTACCCATCAAACGCCTATGATTTGTTGCAACAACATTCCAAGGGTGCTTATCGATCACTGAGCCGGGAAGTAGCCCAATTTTGTGGAACTGGGTGAAGTTCAGTCCCTGGATCGTTCCCCCTGGCTGTATGTTTAGAACTGCTGAAACAGGCACCAATATTTAGCAAACTGAATGCGAGCACAATTTAAAACTCTCGAATTTCAGATCATTCTTTATTTACAAAACAGACTGCCTCTTTGTTTTACAAAACTTACAAAATAGGACTCTTAAAAATAGAAATCGGCTTCTCAAGCTCTCGGAATCCACTTTTAAGTGGTGAACGTGAGACCAGCAACTCTCAGATCCACACTGCCGCCACTGCCAAGGCGGGCGCGGCGGTCAGGACAGACTCTGAAGGAGCAAGATCTTCTCGTTAATGCAGAACCTGTGCAGCACCACCATCAGATTCTCGCCGCAGCGGGACACCTGGCGCTCCATGGCCAGGCGGAAGTCCTCCTTCACGCCTTTGGTGATGCCCCGGGTGACGGTGTGGTGCCTGGGGTCGGCAACAGGAAAACAGAGGGAGCTGGGTTAGCAGCAGCATCGTGGACTGGCGTCACCCAGGTGGGAAGAAAGCCTGCCTCACATCTAAGCATAGGAAGAGACTCGAACCAAATGTAAAAAGAAAAAGAAAATCTGCAAGCAGACACCCACTCCAGCCCATTCTGCCCGGACGGTCTTTAACTAGGGAGATAGCTTACCCGCCTAGACGAGGTGATTTAAATGGCCACATGCTTACTGGAACTACGACTTGCTTTAGGTGGTTGCGCTCCAGTTGTCCATCCCTACTGCTGGTGTGCACACACCACTCCATGACTGAGGGCCCAGTGGGTCCCGTCCTCACTGGTGCCCAGTGAGGCCAGCAGAGCCAGGAGGGGTAGCAGCAGGAAGGAGGGGATCCAGGATGCAATCCATCACCAAGAAGAGATCCCCGCAGCTAGCGTTCCCACTCCCCCAGCTCGGAAAGGCCTGGGCTTCTGTGTAGCTTTTGGGTTCCTGGGTGAGCACACCTCTTTGTGCGGCTCCTCCCCTCCACATTCCCATCATCGTCAGAGAAAAAGCAGGGGATCTTGGGGACAGTGAGATAAAAAGGGTAGCCCAGATGGGGAGAGAGGGCCTGCAAAGTCCTAGGAAGACCAGATTTGTCCAGAGGCACAGAGGAGGGCCACTGGTCTGGGAGGGGTCACCAGGAGAAGCAGTTAAAGACTTGTCTAATTGGCCCCTACTGCTGTGCATCAGGGAAGGAAATGACAAACAAACCCCTAGAAACCAGAGGACAAAAAAAAAAAACAAACCAAACAAACAAAAACAAAATAACAACAACAAAAATCCCCCATCAAAACTCAATGGGAAGTTTGAGCTCCTAGTTTGGGAACGTCATAGATTCAGACAAACAAAAGTCCTTCCCCCGCCCTCTCCCCCATATACCCACTGTCTAACTTCTCTCAGACAAAGGAACAAATCTGAGCGTTCGATTGTACACTGGGCGAAGTGTAACTGCTGCAATCATTCTCAAAATGGGTCTTGTTTTTAGAACATCATCATCACACAAAATCAAGTTCACCAGAAATCCTAAGATCACAGTGTAATAGAAGACAATGGCTGCGGCTGTGAGAGGCTTGTGGAGCTACTAGAGCACCCCACAGGGGCCATGGAGATTTAAAAGGACCGTTTAAGGGGCCATGGGGAAAGGGCAGTTCTTTGTGGACACACTATGGCTGGGGCTAAGTGTGTCAGTGAGGTCAAGGTTCTCAGTCCTGCTGGGAGGAGATGCAGATCGTTTGCTGTTGTGGTGGGAGGCTGCTCACCTGGGTCCCAGGTCTCTATAGTGGACCGAGTCCCCTGCAGGCAGCAAGGTAAAGGGAAACCTCTTCTCTGAATGCTACTAAGAATACAATTACGTGTCACACCTGCTGTCCGGTTCCTGTTTCCGCCTATAAGAACAGCACCACTCAACGGTATTTCCATTAGCGCCTCTTCTCATAAGGCCAAAAGGTGCTAATTACAGTCATCCCCATATGATGTTTCTTTCAGCTACTGAAGGACCCCATTGGCTCCATATAGTCTAGGAATGGGGGAACCATCCCACCCAGGATGGGATGCCCCCTGTGGTGCTGGCATTGGGGACAAAGCTAACTAATGAAGGATTCCTTTCTTAGAAAGTGCTCCCATTATTAAGTGACCATGACGGCAGTTAGCTCTGACACTTCAAGAACAAGATGGGCGAGCTAATGAATATGGGATTGTGTTGGGCTATCAACTATGCACCCCAGAAAGCCAAGGGCTGAAAAACCAGCCTGAGTGGCAGGAGCAAAGCAGGTCATTGACTATGGAGACCAAAAGAGACAATCCTGGTTTTTACTATGATGAAAACCCCCAAAGGAAAAGCTACTTCAAGTCAACTTCAGTTCCTTAAATATTTCCTACCAAAAGTCCTGTTCTTTTTTTTTTTTTCCTTTTCAAAAGAGACTCAGAGTTGAGCACTAAATCTAATGCAATTTTATAAAATCTTCGATTTTGTTTTTCCAGATCCATAATGATTTTTAAATTCAACACAAACACATTGGCAACTTATGGGAAAAAAAAAGAAGAAATGTTACGATATTACACCGGATGGTTTGCCAGGGGGGGATGCGAAATAAAGTAAAAAAAAAAAAAAAAGAAAGAAAGAAAGCATGGCACAGAGCACTGAGGAAGGAAGCTGAAACCATGGGGCGGGGACACATGTCGACACACAGCACACTATGAGCAGGTGTTTTGTCCACTTGGTACCTGTCAGCAGTCTGTATGTTGGGCTGAAGCACAGGTAAGAATTCCTGCTGCAGCAACCCCATGGGAGGGCTAGAAGGCCTTTAAAAAACAGCAAACAGCAGCATTCAAACACCCACACCGGCTCACCCTGCACTGCAAAAACAACACTCCAGAGAAGATACACAGGACTGGAAGCAGACTTACAGAAACTTCAACCTGGACAAGCCCCTGGCGTGGCGTGCTTTGGGTGGGTGTGGGTGGGGGAGGGAGGTGGGACAAACTAGTGAGCCTCATGACATCCAATTGTGGGTAGCAGGGCTGAGGCATCCTGGCTCCTGGTCCTCGAGCTCCCCTCAGCCCCCTTGAGATGGGCACAGAGCCCACTGTGAGTTTGAGGGCCACGGCAGGTAAAGGGACGGCAGTGGGAAGGGGTGAATCTGAAGACACGGTCACAAGCCCAGCCTCCTCGACTCTGCGCTCTTCTCGTGCCCACACCGGCCTCAGACACGCACCGGGTGACTGTGGGTATCCACCTGTGGCGGAACTGAAACCCCAAACTTAAGAGGCCCAGAGGGGCGACAGTGCTTTTGGGAAAAGAAAGGGCGAGTCTATAGGTCAAACAAGTAACTGATGGGGGGAAAAAAAGAGTAAGTCTGGGGGCCCACAGTGTTGTAGAACTCTGGAATAGAGATTTAGTCAATTAGCTGGTAATTACCTCATTGAGCACCATCATTTTCTAATTGAATCCAGTCTAGTGCAACTGAGAGACTACAAATATCAGCATAGAAACATTTCTCTGTTTTAAAACACATCAGAGCAAAATGTCTAGAGAACAAAGGAAGAGCTTGCCTCTCCTTCCGGTCAGACACCAGGGACCCTGGTGTGTGTGTACTGTACCTGCTTGCATCCGAGATACCACAACTAGGACGGACTCACAACCTTACCCCAAGGGGAGGAGCTGTACACTGCTCACAACATCTCTGCCACTCATCTGGCGGGACCACCCATAAGGTCTGCAAAGGCTTCAGAGAATTTGTTTGGAACCCAAAGGGAAAAGGAATATAGATAGTTTTATTCAAGAGTCTAATTATACCTCAAGTAGTCAAAGCTCTCTGTCTTATGCAGTTTGATTCTCGTACGGTAGTTTAGGTATAAGTTATCTGAAATATAGGTTTCAAATTCACTTTGAGACCCCCACAGTGAACACCAGCAAACTCCTGAAAGCCAGGTCACTAGGCAGCCATCCCTAGTCCCGTTTCTAAGCCAATAAAATAGCGAGATTCCTATGGGAAGTTCAAGGAAATTAAGGTAAGACTGGTCAAGGTGGGGGAGCCTAGAGTAATCCAAATGTACACTGCCACCTGCAACTGACCCCTTCCTGTTGTACCATCCAGGTTACTAACTCTCCCTTACTTTACATTCTGTGTCCTAGAGACGGTCATGAGCCCTTGACACTGATCAGCTGAAGGAAAACTGGGGGAAAGAAGGAAGGCTCAGGACAATGAAGTCTGAGGTTCAAGGGCAGAGTTTCAACATTCCTTTCACTCCCACTTGCACAGAGTTAAGGACTGGCTGAGTTAACAGGACAGTCCTCTGTAGGTTTGATCTCCTGAGGGTGCAGTAGGGTGGTTCTAGGGCTGTAATAGAACCCAACAACTGTGTACAACAGAATTCATAAGCTTGAAATGTAATCGAAGAAAACTGTTGAGGCTGTGTGTGACTCGTGAAGCAAGGAGACAATTGGGGTGTGGTATGGCAACTTGATTAACTAAAAGGCTTTATTAAAAGTCTGCTTACGTATTCAACATTATAGCCTAGAAACGGTAGCAGAACAGGTCTGCTGTTATTCTCAGAGTTAGGAATATTTTGAGCCATGCAGTCATTTTCCCCCCATAGTTCTGACTCTCAAATCTCAGGAGCGTCAGTGGTCATGGAAGATGGGCGTGTCCAGTCCCTCTTGCCTACGCAATCTCATCTGTGTGGGGTCTCAAGATCTTAAAAAATGTACTTGTTCTTTCAAATGTTTAGGATACCTAATTCTGATCACAAGATTCCCAGACCATTCTTGCTAAGGCAAGAATGTCTGCTATGCACCTAACAACTAGGGTCACAGAAACCCAGGATGAATATTTCTTCCTTCCCTTCCTCAACGTTTCTAAGACTGAAGAATAACAGAGCAAGGTATGGACTTTTGCTTTCAACCACCCAACACTTGCTGCTATCACCATTGAGGGTAAAAACGAAAGGCCTTCCAGCCTCAGCCTAACCTCCTTCCCACTCGGGGCTAAGTCTCTTGCAGTAGCTCTTTTCCCTAACTAACAGACACACTGAATGTGCAGGAAGCAAAGGAGGAAAGATGAAAATAAAACTGTACGTGGCACTAACAGCAGGAAGGAAATATTACCCAAACTACAATGAGGATTGAGGAGAAGCAAGATTCATGAGCTATTTAAAAATCATAAATGGTCACTAACTTGGTATTTTCACCTGGGCCAAGCTAGAACTTCAGGGACCTCGGTGGGCACAGGGGCAGGTCTGGGACTGAGTCCCTTTTCCTCTCCTCCCCCCCACATTGCTGTAGGCTCTGGGGGGCACTGGGTACAAGGACCTCATTTAGTGCTGGAAACAGTGGGCAGTGCATGAAGGACTTCAGACAGAGTTTAGAAATGACATCTCTCATTTTTCCTAATGAATTTCCCCTATTTCAACACAATTTTAAGCACGCCTAGTCTTATGAAAATCCTTTCCTATCTAATCAGAAATGTATATACTTAGGCTGTAAGTCTTGGAAATGAGAAAGGATCAGGAGGAAACTTCTCATCTAGTGAAAAAGCTTCAGAAGTAATATCCTAATTTAAACTTTGTTTAAGTTAAGGAAAGACCAGTCTTTCAAACAGTCACCTGAATTACACTGACTCTTAAAAAGAGACCAGGTCTGGCTTCCTTCCTATTAAATTACCAAAAGGTACAAAAATCGACAAATAGTTCGTACAAACACAGGAAAGGTGAGCACAGTTTGGAAGAACAAAAGATCGTCTGCTTACTTGATCAGCATTCCTTGATTGGGGAGTAATTCCAGGTGGATCTTTCCTCCCTCCTGAGTCCGTAAGTAGGCAAATTCCTCCAGCATATCAATATCTGCAGGCCAGAGTCAGGTCAACCGCACGTGACAGCAAGGCACTCCATCCTTCCACTCTTGGCCGCCACCATCCCACAACTGCAGAGTGTGAACCTAGGCCTAACTCCAAAACACAGGACTTTTATATCCACCAAAGTGCCTCACAGAGAGAAATATTGGCCGAGGATGTGCCAGGCTGGCCCGGGGATGTAGCTCAGTGGGAAGGCATTTCTACAGCAAGCAAAAGGCAATGGACACTGGGACAACACGTTTAACCTGTAGAGATAACTATACCGACTCTACCATTATTTTTTCTTACTAAGGCATCATAGGTAGGGGGAGTGCGAGAGAGTGGTTTGGGATTCCAGCATACGAGTTATAACAAGCAAGTGATTCTTTCTTATGCCCAGGGTGCAAGGATTTCTAGATATTGCAAGATGAACTCATATATTTTATTATTTGGGGGAAAAAAGGTATGTAAACTCAAAAGGTTCAGCACTCCCCACCCCCCCAAAAAAAAGAGTAAAAACTCTTGCTTTATGGCACTTGGAAAATGGAATATGTATCTTGCCACTCAAAGTACTGCCCTAAAATAAGACAGAAAGCCATCCACATGGAGGCATAGCCTTCAATTCCAGGAAGGTCTCTGGCTAATGAACACCATGAACTCAAGCACCTGCTATGGGAGAGAGCAACTCTGGGCTGGGGAACGAGTCATTAGCAGTTATGACAGCCAGGGCCTGGTGAGCTTACAGCCAATCCCAGGGGACAGCCTACGTCCCAAGAAAGGCCACAGGGAACACTCTTTCCATAGAGGAAGGCTGGGGAACTATGCTACTCTGTAGTTGGCTTTCCCAGGCACCTTGTAGGCTATTACGTCAGAAATCTTGGGTGCCTTTCTGGAAGTCGATTCGAAATAGAAAATGGAACAGGGGTGTCCAAGCCTGATTCCTTGAATTATGTTTCTGAAGTCTCATTTGACTTTTTAAGAAGAGTTCCTTTCTTTTTTTTCATGGTAATCAGGTTTGCACTCGGCCTTATGCTGACTAGACAGGCAGTCCACCACTTGAGCCACACATCTAGTTCCTTTTTCCTTTAGTTACTTTTCAGATAAAGTCTTTAGTTTTTTCCCAGGCTGGTCATTCAACCAATTCTCCCTCTTATGTCTCTCATGTTTAGATTATGTGCCACTACTCCTGGCTTGCTCCTTAATATGAGGGCTACCTAAATTGCTGCGGAGCTACCCTCCTGAGTAGCTGGGATTACAGGCATGATCCACCTCTCCTGGACCCACAGCTCTATCTGAAATCACCCCCAACGGTAAAATCCAGTAATGCTACTCCAGAATGGTTCACTCCATTTCGTACGATGCATTCGTACTGAACAACTCAGAATCCATTATGCTTGCTTGAACAACGAAAAGGATACTCGTAACATAATTGAAAAAGTTCTCGTATTGGAAATTTCCTTGCTGGCAAATCTTATTGATAGCCTTCAGGAAGAGATTCTCTCCCCGCGGCCACTCCTGCTGGAGCAACACAATGACGTGTCCCAGTGCCATGTCGTCTCTGCTGTCCGTGAATGCCCTGAGCTGCAAGACAAACATGCCCACAGGCGGGGAGAGGAGATGAGTGTCAACTCGGATCAACACCTAGGATCACCTCCTAAAACCGGTGCCTATGCAACTGTGTGGTACAATCACAAGAGAAGCACCAAGGAACCGCTGGTCCTCATCAGGACGCTGGTCCTCATCAGGACGCTGGTCCTCATGTGTGCAGGGGCTGGCAGGTTCAGATGGGAGCTGGGCATGCTCGAATGAGCCTGAGGCTGGGAGTCAAGTTGAGTCACACCCATAACAAAGAATTTGGAGATTTCTTTTGGGGATTAACTGTGAGTGGAAAAAGATGGGCTCTTGAAGAGGCTATGCAGGACAGAAAACACAGGCAGCGGGCAAAGGACTGTTTTGTTTTCAATGAACAGCTATGCATAAAAACCACACTCCAAATTGTTTCTGTTGTCCCAAGTGGTTCCGATGAGGACGGAGGTCTGGGAACTACTGCGCCAAGGATCATTCCTCTCTAACAGCTAAACCTTCCTTACCCACAAAGCCCCAGGCTCTGACCCATCTGGGCCCAGGGTCTTGCTTGCTCTCTCCATATAATCCTTCCCAGCCAGCACTGCTGGCCTTCGCTGATCCTCGTGTCTAAAATTAATGCAATAAACTCACTACTTGCCTATGACCCTAACAGCATGCATGTACCCTTTTGCAGCTAATATAGTGAGTATTCATAATTTAGTATTTACTTTATGACTTGAAATATTCATACATTAATCAAATATTTATTGCATACTAGGGTAACTAAGCACAGTTATTTGCACATTTGTCCCATGGATGACTCATACATCTAAACTTCTCAAGGATGGGGCTAAGTTCTGGCCAGTGCAGTTGTTACTTATTAGATTATTTGTAAATCCCTAGTCTGTGTGCATCTCCCATTACCTTTTTACAAATCCTAAACCAACAATTGTCAACAAGGGTCTCTTTTCAAGTCATTCCAGGAGGCCAGGACACTTTGGCAAGTAAAATGTTTTTCATGCTAATCAATGTTAAACTCACCTTGAAGCAGGCTAGCATCAAACGCAGGCAGTAGGGCATGATGGCCTTACTGGTACAGGGTAGGAGCTTCAGATCTGAACCTAGCACAATAGACAATGTCATGTTAACATGGATGGATGTTACTAGGAACAACTTTGAAGATGGAATGTTCAAGACCTTTCCTCCCCTCATCAAGGAAAGCAACAGTCAGGTGACTGCTGATACATTTAACCCTAATGGTACTTGGTTGAGTCTGTAGATTTCACTTCTCAGTCTTCTTTCCTCAACACCATTAAATATTTTTGCATCATGTAACATTTCAGATACACAGAAAATTACAGAGGAAATATTATAAACACCAGTGTGCTCATCACTTGCCTTTACAAAATGCTAACATTTTACTTTTGATTTGTAAAGATTTTAACGTAAAGACTCACAGAATCAGGGGAAGTGTCCTGTGGACCCTTCTGAGACCTTCTCCTCCTCCCTCCCAAGCAGCCCCAGTGTTGAATGTGATGGCAATTGAAAGCCACCTGCCCACTCTGTCGCCTTCATTTCTATTCAGAGGAATTCTCGCAGGTTTTCAGTCTGCTCTACTAATGGTGTCAGGCTGCAGGAATTGGTCTGAAAAGTCACCTTTCTTTAACTCAATCTTTGAAGTTTCAGATTAATAACAGCGCATGTACAGAGGTCTATGGTTTATGAACTTTCAGGGTTACCTAGTATTTCTGTTTCCATATTACCATAAACAATTAATTTTAAAACAATGCTGAAACAGAACATTACTATTCATAATTTCCTGTGCATTTGTGGAAAAAAAAACTGTAAGCATGAATTTTAAATCAAGATCTGACCAACCCAGATCCCTCTCAGTAGATGAATGGATCAAGAAAATGTGGTATATATACACAATGGAATTCTATGCCTCCATCAGAAAGAATGACATTGCCCCATTTGTTAGGAAATGGAAAGACTTGGAAAAAATTATATTAAGTGAAGTAAGCCAGGCCCAAAGAAACATAGGTCCCATGGTTTCCCTTATTTGCAATAACTAGTATATGTCTGAGTCAAGCAGAAAAGGTCAGATAAGGTGATGTATGTAAGATATGTAAGATATCTAAGATATGTATTCAAATGTTTTTTCTTTCATGTGATTGTTTCTAACACATTTATAAGATTATTTCTTTGTTGCTTTGTATGTCCCTCCCCCACGGTATAACCCCTGCTTTCACTGTATTTGATGTCGGTATAATTTGTGGAGGGGAAGGGAAAAAATAAATCGTTTAAATAGGGATACAGGTGGACCCATTGCAACAATGAGATGTACAAGTCATTATGTCGAAAACGAACTTTACAACTTTGGTGGGGGGTGGGGAGAAATGGGTGAGGGGCTAGGGGAGGATGGGAAGGGATGGGAAGGGGAAACAAAGGAGGAGGCGACAATGCTTGATAAATGTACTCATTATCTTGCCCATGTAATATGTAACCCCTCTGTACAGTATTTTCACAATAAAAAAAAAAATCAAGATCTGTCTTTTTCCTTTATGGTCTGTGTTCTTTATATCTTTAATCCTTCTCTATCAGAGGTTAAAAATAAGTAAGTTTTTTTTTTTCAATCATGGGGCCTGAACTCTGGGCTTAGGTGCTGTCCCTCAGCTCTTCAGCTCAAGGTGAGCACTCTACTACCATTTGAGCCACAGTGTCACTTCCAGGTTTCTGGTGGTTTATTGGAGATAAGAGTCTCACGGACTTTCCTGCCCAGGCTGGCTTTGATCCGAGATCTTCAGATCTCAGCCTCCTGAGTAGCTAGGATTACAGGTGTGAGCCACCAGCACCCAGCAGAAATTGTTTTTTTTACATGGAAATCCTGTACACACATACTTAACATGTTACATGTCTAAAACTAAAGGTTTCACAAAATAATATTTATGCTTTCAACCTGAAATGCAATCATTTAAACGATTCTATCTATTTCATTAAAAAAGTAAATTTCTGGTTGAAATTCAGGAATAAAGGACCCAGTTTGGAAAACACAGATCTATGGTACAGAACTAAGAGATGAGGTAGATGACTAGGAAATGACTAGAAGTGATCAAGGCAGGAAAACGAGTTCACAAATATTCTTCCTTGTCCTTCTCCTCCTCTTCCTCCCTTTCCTTCCTCACTCTCCCTTTCCTTCCCTCCCATCCCCTCTCATTTCCTTCCCTCTTGTGGAGCAAGTGGAGCTTGGGAAGAAACACAGATTTACAGCTGTTAGGAAATCAGAGCCAAGGAAAACCTTGGAAAGAGGATGAACTTTTTATAAGGAACAATTTTTTATGCGCTACAGATCTGTAGACCACTACAGTTATCTTCTCACCAGGAAGCGTACACACCTTCCAGCCATGGCTTCTAACCCAGCCATGGGTTTTGACAAAGTAAGAGTAAAACGTCTCACTGTACCTTTTCTAAACTTGGGCTTCGCTTTTGATGGTTCTTCCTGTGACTTGCCGCCATCTTGGATGGGGAGGGTCATGTAGCACATCAGATCCAGAACTTTCTCACAGGTCATCTATACAAGATAAGACCATTAGGGGCTGGGAAGGTGGCTCAGTGGTAGAGCGCTTGCCTTGCATACATGAGGCCCTGGGTTCGATTCCTCAGCACCACATAAGCAAAAAGAAAAAAAGCCGGAAGTGGCACTGTGGCTCAAGTGGTAGAGCGCTAGCCTTGCACTGAAGAACTGAAGATAGTGCCCAGGCCCAGAGTTCAGGCCCCACGACCGGACACCCCCCCCGCCCCCCAAAAAAAGATAAGACCATCAGGCAACAACCTGAAATGAAATGAATGTGAAAGCAAATACCCTGTGCAAACACATAGGCAACATATGTGCCAGAAGTCTGGATCTCTGCCTCAAGACTAAAACGTATGTATGGGATCATAAGTATTTGTTCGGCAGTGAACACAAAGAAAGGAACAAGGAATGGTAAAATTAACAATATGGACCAGAGGGGAAAAGTCTGTACTTTGATGTTAAAGCCTAAACTTAAAAATTAATCAAGTACTAACTCAACTATCTGTGCGTAGGTGCTAAATGATGGTGGAAAAGCATTTCCAATGTTAAATGCACACCTTTTACCTGTTCTCCCGTTGTTTACATAAATGATCATCACGGCAAATTATAAATTATATTGCAGAGTCCAGGTTAAATTTTGTAGGTATTTAAATCGTAATCAATTTAAGTATATAGAGAGAATCTATACACAGCTTTCTGCACACTTTGAATCATCTTTTGATGAATTGCATTACCTAATCCAGTGGAAGCCCCATGGGAACAGCTGTCACACCGTGCTGTTCAAAGGAGGACAAGAATGTCTGCACATTTCAGAAGAAAGCAGAGTTCGTGTGTGAAGCTGTGGCCTTGAATTTGTAGAGTATCTACATATATGAAAATGCACCTATAATTTTAACCGACTCCAAATGTTTGCCGTGCATTCACTCTGAGGAAGTCATCATGGTAGGTGCTTTTGAAATCCGAAGATAAACAGTGCAGCCCCCATTCTGCAGCAGGAGAACTCAGGCTCATGAAGAAAAGATTACTTATAAATCTGTTCCTGCTGGGCGTCAGTAGCTCATGCCTGTAATGCTAGCTACTCAGGAGGTTGAGATCTGAGCATCATAGTTTGAAGCCACCCCGGCCAGGAAAGTCCATTAACTCTAATTTCCTATTAACCACCAGAAAGCCAGAAATGGAATTGTGGCTCAAGCACCAGACTTAAGTGGAAAAGCTAAGGGACAATGCTCCGACACAGAGTTCAAGCCCTAGTACTGGCATAATAAATAAAATAAAATAAGATAAACCTGTCTTGAACCCTCTGTCTAGTGTCATAGCCATTTAACTAGAGAAGCTGAGGTATGGGTAAGCTAAATGTCGTAAATCCTGTTGGCCACTCACTGATGGCCTCATGTCTCCAAGCACAACAGAATAACCTGGGTAAAGTGCACTTAGTAAACAGATTAAGGAGATTCTAAGCAAAAAAAAAAAAAAAAAAAAAAGTAAGCAATGATCCTCCAATAAAATAGAAAAAAAAAATCAGAACATTTGAAAAGCCTAATTTCAGGAAAGTCATGCTAAAGAGAAAACTAAAGAAAACATCTTTGTCGTTTCTTCACCAGCAAAATTAAGTCATAAGTCTTAGTGGCCACGTGAAATTCCAGCACACACACACACACACACACACACACACACACACACACACACACACACACACACACACACACACACACACACACACTGGTTTCAAGGGTCTTCTCTAAGACAGGAAGTGCCCATCACTTGGAGGCCAGGTGCCAGGCAACACACTCATACTCACTCTGTATTCTCCCAAGGCTAAGTGACAGGTTGCCAGCTGGATGAGTGCCCGCTGATGCTCCAGGGTCCCCTGTCCTGAGATCTGTGGCTGGGAAAGCGATCCCTGCAGAGCGGCTAAGTGATGCAGGCTGGCTATTGCCTTTTTATATTGACCCTTAGCGAGGGAAGAAAAGAAACAACAAAAACATTGCCCTGAGAAAAAAAACAAAAACCCACGTTCTCTAGTTTATTAAGCAATCAGCAAGCAACTGTAAATAAAGTACTTTTTTTTTTTATAGAAAGTATTTCTTTAATCAAGTACTTCTGAATGATCAGAGGAGGAAAAGGATCGAGTGGTAGAATCAGATCGGTTACTTCAGATTAGAAGTTCTTTATGAGGGTGCCTCACTAGTCCAGTCATTCCTACGGATCCTCAGAAGCGTGGCTCTAGGACCATGCAGGCACCACAACGTGTAGATGCTCCATTCTATTTCAAATGGTCCATTTGCATTCCGTGTATATACCTCCTGAAGACTTTAAGTCTTGAAATGAAATAAGACAACAGGAGCTCCCTGATAAAGAACATTTTGGAAGTTCATTTTGTTTTGTATGAAGGATGGCAGGAGGACCTTGTCCATTTCATCGTACCGGAAGAACAAAAGTTGCCTACACTCTCCATTCTAGGGCTAAGAAGCTGGAGGGCAGGAGAGCAGAGCAGAACTCTTACCACAGCAGAGGGGAGGAGGGAGAAAGTACTAGCATTCTATGAAATGATGGTGGTGTGTGTGAGAGTGACACTTCCAAAATCCATGGAAGGTGTGGCCTTTCATTTCAGAGTTATGCTTAAGAGTCACTAAGCTTCATACCTGTGATCAGGCACTGGACTAGCTCACGGGGGGGGGGGGGGGGGGGGGGGGGGCATGGTGTACCCTGCAGATGAGGGGTTAAATAATGGTGCACTCATCACTCAGAACATACCCAGGGACCCAAGACACACAGCACTGTACCTGGTAGATGATCATATCGGTAAGGAAGATTCTTAACCACAGCCATGTATCTGTCTTCCATGCCAAACAAATTCTTGTGAATTCTGAGTGGGAATTCAAGAGCAAATTCACCGAAAATACAGAATGCAGAAGCAGAAAACAACAGCAACCAACCCAGTAAAAGAGAACAAACTCGGGGCTGGGAAGGTGGCTCAGTGGTAGAGCGCTTGCCTTGCATGCATGAGGACCTGGGTTCGATTCCTCAGCACCACATAAACAAAAAGAAAAAAGCCAGAAGTGGCGCTGTGGCTCAAGTGGAAGAGCGCTAGCCTTGAGCTGAAGAGCTGAGGGACAATGCCCAGGCCCAGAGTTCAGGCCCCACGACCGGACCCAAAAAAAAAAAAAAAGAGAACAAACTCCCCCAAAAGTCTTAACTTTATAGACTCTTGTTGCTAAAACAATGGATCCAGACTTTTAGCTTAGATAGTTAGAGTTTGCCATACCCAATACACAGGCAGGATTTTTATTCAGAAACCAATATGACAAGCACACACAATATGCTAACTGTGCTTTTCATGTATTATGACACTTGGTGCGTTTATCTGATTAATCCATCCATTCACCCATTCATTTATTCATTAACTCAGAGTGTCACTCTGTAACAGATTGGCCTTGAACTCAAGATCTTCCTGTCTCAGCTTCCTGAGTGCTGGGATTTGTGTCGTGAGCCCAGGCTCACCTTCCATTTAACTTATAAACTACTTTGCTTCCCTTAGAATATGAAGTTGGATCTCAAATGAAAATTTTCTTCCAACACTCACATACACACTCATAAGTTCTACATGCAACAAAGAAACTGACTTAGAAGCTGGAACATGACACATTTGATATGCCAGCAGGGGACAGGAGGCCAGGGGACAAACATCCACTGGCTAAAATTAAAGCAATGGGACTTGAATGCAAACTACAGCCAGGAGCTATGATATCCCTTCTGTGTCTATACTTCAAAGCAAATGGGTTTGCATGGCTTTTCAATGACATGTATAGCTTGAGGAAGATGCAAAGCAATGGGAAGGAAGAATAAGAAAAGAAAACCAAAAGAAACAAAAGGCCAGCAATGTAAGTATTAATAAGAGTACAAACTCTATTTCAAACTCCCTCCTAAGCCTGATTATAATATAGCCTACCCAGAGGAGGTAAGAGGTGAACATTTGTTTGAGTATTAGCTAAACAGGTATCCTATACAATGTGTGAACTACTATAATCAATTTCAATAGCTGTAAGAGACTCGACATTTCGAGCCAAGCATAAGTGACTTGTTAATATAATGACTATGTAAAAACACACACATAGACACACATACACACACACACACACACACCACACACACAGAAGCATATTCTTACCTTTGTCAAGAAATTCTAGGGAATACAGCAACTCCCAGCTCTCCCTGGCCAGCTTAAAGCTTTCTAACACTTCAACGGAGTTAGAGAGTTCTGCTTTATTGACCACAATGTGACGATTCTTTCCTTTGGCTGCACATTCTTCGTCATCTGAACTCTGCTTGAAAGTGGGAAGAATATGTTGTCTGTTAAGACACGCTGTGTGTTATAAACACAAAAAGATGGTCAGGAGAAATTGCTAAGTTTCTAATTTTCAAATGTAGATTTCAAAGGTGGCTCTTTGTGGGCATTTCAGTTAGATTTGGGATTAGTCAACTCTGACCAAAGTTTTATAAATAAAGTTTTATTGGAACATTATTATATCCCTTGTTTACACATTGTCTATTCATGTTTTTGCACCAAAACAGCAAAGTTGAGACCATCTGGCCTGAAAGGAGAGCAAACATTTCTTGGCTATTGATGGGGAAAGTAGGCTAACACCTGAACATGTCACCTCACTAAACATTCTTCTGGAAGAAATGGACTACTATCCTGCTTGTGTTTGCCACCTGGCTGGGTTAGAAAGCTGAAAGTTCTTCACATCCTCTGTCCTCTTCTGTATTTGTGTGGACCCAACCCTCTCAAATCCTGCCTCCTAATTCCAATTGACAAAATCCTGTATATCCTCCCAGCAGGGGAGATCCTTTTCTCCTCCAGGACAGCTCTGCTCCGTAATCTCACAGGGTGCTCAGGCTTTGCTCAGTGCCTCAGCTCTTTATAGTCTGAGGCCAATTTAGTTCCCACTTTGTTTTGTAAATTTAATCATTACCATTCAGTCAAACTGTGGGCCATAACTCAAACTAGTTTTCCATCTTGTCGCTACTGACTCTTTGGGCTGTCCTGTACACTGTAGACTGAGACCATCCAAGTTGTAGCTTTAACGGATGCTAATTTAGCAACTTCTCCCACCAAGAGCAAGATTGTGACAATCAAGAATGTCCCCACACACTGTCAATTGCCTACCACGTTGGATAACTTTAAAGCCTAAGCTTTGGGGCTGGGAAGGTGGCTCAGTGGTAGAGTGCTTGCCTTGCATGCATGAGGCCCTGGGTTCAATTCCTCAGCACCACATAAGCAAAAAGAAAAAAAGCTGGAAGTGGCGCTGTGGCTCAAGTGGTAGAGCACTAGCCTTGAGCTGAAGAGCTGAGGGACAGCGCCCAGGCCCAGAGTTCAGGCCCCACGACCGGATCCAAAAAAAAACCCCCAAAAACCTAAGCTTTATTATGAAGCTCCCAAACCATATTTTGCAAATATAGGAAAACTATAAACACACAATGCTCCTAATTAAATCTTTAAGGATTACCATGGTTTTTTCTCTTCCCTCAGCTAGTTTCCTCTTCTTATGTATGTGTTTATTACGGTCAATTTCTACATCGCCATACACATTTGATACATCTTCAAGAAGAACCAGGGGAACTTGGCTTGGGGCATTAGGACCTACAAATGGATGGGGGGAAATATAAACATTAAAAACACAACAGGGCAACCAGGTGCTGGTGTTTACACCTGTAACCCTAACTACTCAAGAGGCTGAGATTGGAGGATTCCAGTTCGAATCCAGCCTGGGCAAATAAATCCAACAGATTCTTATACCCAATGAACCAGCAAAACGTTGTAAGTGGAAGTCTGGCCCAGGCCTTAAGCAAAAGAGCTAGGCAAGAGCGAAAGGCCCCAGTCATGGCACAAAAGAAGAATACTTGACATTAGTGAGATGTTTGTTCAACTGTCACAAGAAAATGGAGCCCATCAACATGTCTAGAAGTGATCTCAATTAGGTAAGCAAGTCAGTGAACATGCATGTACACAGATATACCAAGTTTTCTGTTGTTTTGGTTTGACATGGGGAGAGTAGGGTCAGGGTCTTACTAGGTAGCCCAAGCTGGCTGGAACTCAGTATCCTCCTGCCTCAGCCTCCCACGTACTGGCACGACAGGCATGCGCCACCGCACCCAGCCTGCAAATAGTTAATGAATGTTGCGGTCAGTGCTGAAGACCCGCCATCGCTCCTTCTTCGTATTTGCTCTTCCCTATTTGAAATCTTTTTGAACAATGACCATAATTCATAAAATGATCACAGAAGGTAAGACTATAAAATTGCACACACATTATGGTGACATACTCCACACAAAATATAAACATGAAATACACGGAAATAAAGGGTTTGGTGGGTGATTTCACCTTCTCATTTCTAGTTTTTCAAACTCTCTAGGAGACATGTACACATTATATAGGTGGATACAAAACCATATAAAATGTGTATTTCACTTAAAACTTTGCTTGTTGTCATGTCTTCATAAAACCTACTTCGCTGTATCAACTGGGGTTTTTTTCCCCCCAAAAAACAGCATCCATAGACTACATGTAGTTTAGGCTCCCAGTACCACTACACCCTTTGATGAAGGAATTTTTAGCAAAAACACTGTTATATTAAAAACTACTGACTGGGGCTGGGAAGGTGGCTCAGTGGTAGAGTGCTTGCCTTGCAAGCCTGAGGCCCTGGGTTTGATTCCTTAGCACCACATAAGCAAAAAGAAAAAAAGCCAGAAGTGATGCTGTGGCTCAAGTGGTAGAGTGCTAGCCTTGAGCTGAAGAGCTGAGGGACAGTGTCCAGGCCCAGAATTCAGGCCCCACGACCAGACCTCCCCTCTCCCCCCCACCTCCCCGCAAAAAAAAACCCCAAAAACTACTGACTTAAGGCAGACAAAATTATCAACCACATCGAGGTCAACCTCAGCTTCTGAGTTCAGTAGTGATGGTAACAACTGCCATCCCTACAGATCCAGGATTCCCGGGTAATCCAAAACACACCAACCTTGGAAGAGGGATGGCTGAATGCTGCTAACGTACTGGAAAGCATTCTTAAAGAAGACCAGCATGGTGGAATAAACCACCTGGTTCTTGTATTTCGCATGGGCCTCACTGTCAAAGTTGTTCATGTATCTGCAGAGGTCTTTCATTCTGTGCAAAATATCACCATAGCTTCTGAAAGATAAAGGATGAGAAAAATCTTTCAACTCTCTAGGCTTGTCAGCAAAAAGGTGAAAGGAAAGCTGTAACAGATTCATCTCAGTTATCAACTATAGAAATGAACACTCATTACCGTCTTCCTTTATCCATCTGCCATTCACATCTCACTCCAACCACATTCAAAATCTTGAACAACCTCTCCCAAGGGTCCACAATCTGGGATGATTTTTCAGTCAGGCCTTCTATTATGTATTTCTGAGAGCTCCGTTTGCTAGGAGACATTAAATCAGATGTATCTTGGGCACCTGAGAAGGAAGTAACTCACAGTTAGCATCACGACTTCCTGTGCCTGAGGGATCTAGAAAGAAAATGTCAGACTCCTTATTCAAAAGCGAAGAGGACAGAACCCCAGCCTAGCACTACAATGCCCTGCTCATACTACACTAGTTGCAAAGGATCAGGCCGAAGCTCAAATGTCCTTCAGCCTCCTGAACACAGATGAGCAAGAGGCAAAAGGAAAGGAAATCACAGAAGAAAAAGAACACCCAGGAAATTTCAGTGAAGCCTTAGAAGAAGCTCAACAAGCTCATACAAAGCTTGAGACCATGGTAGAACACCCAGAGGTTTTCACTGACAGAGAAAAGTTCGCATCTGCTTCACAAGAGAACCTAGGATGACGAAATAAACAAACCAAGCTAACTACCACCGATGGATTTCTGAGAAGAGCACCATCTTCTCAACAAGAGCCACAAAAAGGTCCCTTAGGCGGGAGCTGGCTGCTCAGCTTTATTACTGGGGCAGGTGGAGGCAGGGGTGGGGGGTGGGGGCGCGGGAGGTGGAGGTGGAGACTCTAGCATGGGTGTGGAACAGGCTATGGCCTCCAGGACTGGCTGAGAACACGCAGGGGAACTGTCTGTTTCTCGGAATCCATTTCCAACCTGATGCCACATCACGGCATGTAATGCCACTGGTGAGGCAGAAAGTGATCACGCAGTTCAGTGCACCTCAGGTGAGTAGCCACCATGTTCAAGGTGAGAATGAGAAAGAAAAGTCTCCCCATATTTATCCTGCTATCAACTTTTAGAGAAAGTGGGCCACATGGGAGAAGAGCAAGGTGATGATGGAGGGTGGTGATGAGGGAATTGTGAATTCACACCGGTGCCGACCAAGCTGCAGGACGCGGATGCATACCTTGAAGCTGACTCTCTATCTGAGGGGACCTGGTGACGTAGCTGATATAAAACTCGGCTGCTTTGTTCAAGTACTTATATAGTAAATTGGCAGGCAATCGGACGTCATGGTTGTTAATTATTAGAGGAAGGACATCACAAACTGTTCAAGGAGAAAAAAAATCAGAAAATAAAAAACCACATACAATAAAAATAAAAAACTTCACTTAGAGTTCATCACCTACCATTACATTAGGGATTGGCTCAATGGTTGTTAATAGATTTCTTCGTCTTTTCGTTTTTTCTTTTGGGAGACTTAGATATGTATTTTTTAAATTTATTTTTATCTTTAGTTGTACCAGGAAGTGCCATATACCAAAGCAGTTTATGTATACAAAGCATCTTGATCAGTGTAAGCCTCCTTCTCACTTTTAGCCCACCCCACACCCCTTCCCTTACTTTTCCTGATTTTGTGGTATATACATAATGAATTGTTTTTTGTTGTTGTTTTTTGTTGGTCATAAGGCTTGAACTCTGGGCCTGGGTGCTGTCCCTCAGCTCTTCAGCTCAAAGCTAGCGTTCTACTGCTTGAGCCACATTGGCACTTCCGGTTTTCTGGTGGTTAATTGGAGATAAGGGTCTCATGGATTTTCCTGTCCGGGCTGGCTTTGAACCACGATCCTCAGATCTCAGCCTCCTGGGTAGCTAGGATTACAGGCGTGAGCCACCAGTGCTTGGCTCACAGTGAATTCTTTTTTTGGGCGGGAGGGAGGGCCCGGTCATGGGGCCTGAACTCTGGGCCTGGGTGCTGTCTCTCAGCTCTTCAGCTCAAGGCTAGTGCTCTAATAATTGAGCCATAGCACCACTTCTGTTTTTTTTCTTTTTGCTTATGTGGTGCTGAGGAATCGATCCCAGGGCCTCATGCATGCAAAGCAAGCACTCTACCACCGAGCCACCTTCCCAGCCCTCACAGTGAATTCTTGACTGTACCTATTGTCATTGTTTTAAGAAGGACGGGGGTGGGAGAAAGTGACAGAGGGTCTGAGGTTGCCCTGAAGGCACTGCACACGTGCATGGAAATGTCACAGTGGAATCTTGTACAACTTAAGGTTTGCGTACAAAAAAAAAGTTCAGGGGTATAATATTACATAAGTTTAGAAGTTGTTGAAAATGCTTTCAGGATTAAAAAGATGAACAAGGTTTTAACTCCTTAATACACAAATGACCTTATCCCAGAAATGGACATGGACCCAACCCCCCAAACTTCACTCACCACAGGAGCTATTATAAAGTACCACTTTTCTTACCAAACAATTTCCTAAAACAGTTCACAGGAGACTCTTGTTCTTCAATAGTTTCTGCTTCTAGCAGCGCCTCCCCAAGGCCAACCTGTTTCACAATAAAATTAACCACTTAATATGTGGTTTCCAGAGGTTAAAGTCACACAAAGAAATGTAATTACAAGGTGTGTGTGTGGGGGGGGGGGGGGGTAAAATTCTCTTTTTTATCTCAGTTACCTTAGTTACATTTCTCCAACAAACAAAATGTAAGATTGGCACAGCAGCACTTCCCGGAAGTGCTGGCCACCGGCCACTAGACCACTCTGGTCGTAGTTATTCTCTGAATTTACAAAATTAAAAGGCTAATGAGATGTTCACAGCAATGCCAGGGGAACAACAGAACTAGAGTCAGGATGATCATATCAATGGGGAAGAAGGGTAGAAATCCACTTTATTCTCTCATCAAGAGATCCCAGGAGACAGTCTGCATGAGATTAGGATGAATCATCTGCTGCCTTCCCATGGCTGACACAGAAGCACAGCAGGAAGTACCTTATGAAAACCCACTAGGATGCTTGTATTATCTCCCTTGTAACCACCCAGGGAGCTATAACATAGGGTGAAACAATGTAGAAGATTTTACTGCATAGAAGGGTAAAAGCACTGTAATCAGGCACTAGTACCTCATATCTGTAATCTTAACTACTCAGAGACTGAGATATGAGGATCATGGTTCAAAGCCAGCCCAGGCAGAAAAGTCCATGAAATTCCAACTAACCATGAAAAAAAAGCTACAAGTGAGTCCATGGCTCAAGCGGTAGAGCATCAGCCTGGAGCACGCGGGTCCTGAGTTCAAGCCCCAATACCCAAAACTAAAATTAAAAAGATCATTTTTTGATTTGAATAGTGTTCTCTCCCCTTCAAATTCGTGTCCACTCAGAACCTCAGAATGGGACCTTACACATTCACGTGCAACTTCTCAGGGCTGTGGGTCTGACAAATGCATCAGCAGGCAATTTTGTCATGAGAACCTCAAAGAGCCTTTCACACACGAAGGTGGCTGTGTGCCAGGATCTTGCTGGGCCACTGCCACCTGTGCAGCCTAACAATGACCAAAGTGCCACTGTGAGATACATGGCCATCAACTTTACCTTTGAGGTTGTCTTGTTAGCTTGCTAGTGTTTGCTTATAATCCCAGCTACCTGGGATGCTGAGGCAGGAGGATATTAGTAGTTTGAGTGGCTCAGTGGTGTAATATTGCCTAGTGTATGGAAGAGTTTAATCAGCAGTAAAGAACGAGGGGTGGGGGAGAGGGAGTCTACAGATCTAATGAGTTAGGATGAGGTCACACTAGATTGAGTTAGGCCTGAAACCCAACCACTAATAAAGACATAGGAAAGGGGGAAAAGGCTCACAGGATGACAGAGGCAGAACACTAGAGCAATGCAGCTGCCAGTCTAGGAAGACAGAAGAAAGGGAGGGGACAAAGCTCTGCCCTTTGCCTTTGGACTTCCAGCTTCCAGACCTGTGAAAGAATTTCTGGTGCTTTCAGCCAGCCTATTTCTACTACTTTGGAGCCTCATAGAAGAAAGTATGCAATGGTTAAATGGAGCCAGCAGCCAGGCAAGTTGGGGGGTCAGGGGAGTTTAAATGAAAATGGAAAGAATGAACTGTTGGAATCCTGAATACCACTGGCCAGACCAAGTGATTAGACATCTGGGACTCAGTTTCTTTAGGGGATCCCTAGCACTTACTAATGTCCATCAATGGTGCTACATAATTTTCCAGATGTAAGGAAGTGGAAGGAACAGAGGGGAAGTGTTTAGGCCCCACAGGGAGCGGCACACAAATAGCACATCTGTTAGAGCCATAAACTGTGGCTCTCGCTTAGACTCAAGCACATTTTCAAACACAGTAAGGGAAAAAATAAAACCTATTGTACCGAACACAAATAAATGCTACAGTTTGGTGGGTTTTTTTTTTTTTTGGTGCCAGTACTGGGGCTTGAACTCAGAGCTTTTCCCCTCAAGGTTGGATGGTACTCTACCTACTTTAGCCACAGCTCCACTTTGGCTGGCTTCAAATGAGGCTTCTCAGATCTCAGCTGCCTCAGTAGCTGGGATTACAGGAGTGAGCCACCAATGCTCAGCTGATGACTATTTCTTTATACTGATAAAACTTCTGCTGGATATATGTACCTAATGTTTGACGGCAGTGATCTGCAATGCTGGCCTCTTAGTTTTCCTGACCAAGAACCTCCTGACTGAGGTCTTACTACAGTCAGAGAATCTCTGCTTTGGGATAAGACAAACTACAGCTTGTCAGCGGGTTGATCATCAGCTTCATCTTCTCATAAGGAAAAGGGGAGACTTGCTCTTACCCCATGCTGCACCACTGTTTCGGGGAAGCGCCTCAAGAGCAGGAGGAGCATTTCTGACCTTTCCAGTGTGTTGAAGCACTGTTCTGTGACCTTCAGGAGCATTTCACACTGGACCCGACCAGGAAGCGTTTCAAACAAACCTGCATACAACACAGTTCACTGTTAATAGGTTATTCAAGACCAAAAAAAAAAAAAAAAAGGTTACCCGGAAGTACTAAAGATGGCATTTCCCCCACAAATGGAACCATTAACAACACCATGGTGGGCAGGACTCTACCAAAGGGACCTGGAGGGCTTTTGAATCCCAAAGGACTTAGCGGACTTAGCGCCAAGATGTTTGCTGGGTAGTCATAAAACATTCGAGGCCTTTCTAGATCCAGAAGACAAGAATGATCGATGGGTATGAGCTTACCTAATGCCTGTCACAAGAAGTGGTAAAAACAAGGGCTGTTTAGAGCTGAAATGACCTAAACCATCCACTTCCTATTTGACCTTGAACTTGGAATCTTTGATCAGCAACCACAACCCGCACAGCAGTTTAGAAGGAAAAGGTCATAGTTTATGGAAAGCTTTCCTGCTGCTTTGTAGAAACCTGGTAAGATGTTTTAGGGTTTCTATAACATGTTATACAAAATCTATTCAATTACTTGGACTCACTGATAGAGCCAAAGACTTTAAGGAAGCTCAGAGGGTTCTAAGCAGATGCTCAGGCATCAACTGGCATTATTACAGACTTTAGTAGCCAAGCAGTAAATACCAACACCACAAGTGTAACTTCCTCCAGACATTTCTGTAAATGATGTGGAATTCAGAAAAGGGCATTTTAAACAACTGTTAAAAAATATTACTCCATACTTGCCCAGTTGTTTTGTTTTTGTTTTTGAGACAGGGTCTCCTCTATGTAACCATGGCCGGCCTTACACTCCAGAGGCTCCTGTGTGCAGTGTTTATACGGTCTGTGCCACCCTGCCCGGTGCTACTTCATACTTACTTCTTAAAAACTGGGTTTGTTTATCCTGGGAATCATTCCTTAATGCTGATGTAATAATGCTGATTTCTCTCCACACCACTGGCTGGTCTGGGAAGTTCACGAACCTATTTTTTTTTAAAACAGATGCATTAAATTCAGATGTCAGATTCTTCACCATATTCCAAAAAATAAGGTAACACTATCAGTTATTTGTGGAAACCATTTTTTTAAGTAAACAGGTATGTTGAAACAAACTAAAGATATGAATTAGTTTAGAAAAAGGAGTATCATGAAAGTCTTTAGAAGTTTTTTGTTGAGTGATAGACATGCAACCCAATACATAAAGAGAGCCTAAAAGTCAACAAGAATGAAACAAACTATCCAAAAGAATGGACTAGACAAAAAAGAGAATACAAACAGCTGAAACTGTACTTAGCCTTATTAGTACTATGACTAGCACAATTTGAAAAATAAAATAATGTGTCCTTTTAAAAAATCATATTAACAAAAAGGAAAAGAAAACTGATAAGCTAGGCACGATTACACAAGCCAGTAGTTCCAGCTATGCATGAGACTAAGGGAGGAGGATCACTTGAGTAGACAAGTTCAAGAACAGCCTAGACAACATAGTGAGACTGTTTCAGAGAGAGAGGAAAGAAGAGGGGAAGGGAGAGAAAGAGAGGGAAAAGAAATAAATATCCATAATATTCAATGTTGCTAGAACATGGGGAAAGTTCTTACATACCAATCATGGAAATAAAATTAGGATAGTCCTTTGGGGAGAGTAATTTAATAGTGGATCAAAGTTAAAATGTCCATACCCTTTAACTATAAATATATGTCTTAGGATCCTCTTCCACAAAAAACATAAAATGTAACTACAAAACTGCTTACTGAAATTCTGAATATTATTTCGAGTAATGAGAAAACAGATGCTCACTAAGGAAAAAAAATGGATTAGTATAAAATACTACACAGGCACGAGAAAGAACAGAGTAGAGCTTTACATCCTGACACAGAAAGGAGTCCACCAGGTTGGGTGAAGAAAGCGAGCCGGAGCATGAACTCACTTTAGTAACTTTTCCCTCAGACTCCCCCAAACCTCCTGTGTACATGCACTGGGTTCAGACAGATACCTGGACACTCACAGAAGTCTGGCTGGGCTTTAGGAGACTTTGTTTGAATGCTTGCAATGAGCATGTATTGCTTCCAGCACAGGAGTGAGTGAGTGAGTGAGTGAGTGAGTGAGTGAGTGTGTGTGTGTGTGTGTGTAGAAGTCTTAGCAAGAAAAATGCACAGGAATAAAATTGCTTCCAGCACAGGGGTGTGTGTGTGTGTGTGTGTGTGTGTGTAGAAGTCTTAGCAAGAAAAATGCACAGGAATAAAAAGGCCAGTGAAGGAAGAGGCCTGGCCTCATCAGGAAGTAAGCTGTGGGTACCAGGGATGGGGAGGGCTTGAAGCCCCCCTCCCCCCCCCCCGCCAGTTCAGCTGGGGGGGGGGAGAGGAGGGTCGCCCCAGGGGAGGGGGAGGGGGCGGAGCTGGGCCGGTCCCCGCGGGGGGAGGGGGAGGGGGAGGGAGGGAGGGGGAGAGCTGGGCCGATCCCCCCCCCCCCACACTCACATGTCGTACAGCAGCCGCCCCGCCGTGGCCGTCCGCTCCGCGTTGCGCTCGATGGTGTACATCTCATACTGCAACAACACCGCGCCGGGTCACGGTCACCATCGCCCTGGGCCCCGCCGGTCCACAGCCATGCCCGACGCCCGGAGGCTGGCGACAGGTCCCGAGGGGTGCGGGGGAGGGGGTCCCCGCCGGGGTGGAAGGGATCCGGCCGGGGGTGAGGGTGGGGCGGCCCCGCACGCGTGCAGGCGGCCCCGCAGGGGTGCGAGGGGCCCCGCAGAGCCTCCACGGCCACCCCCGCGGCGCGGCGCTCCCACCTCCGCGCCGGGCCCGACCTCACCTGGATGTTGAAGTCAGCCGGGTAGAGGCTGCGGGCCGTGATCAACCACGCCTTGGCGGCCCAAAGGTCCTGGGGCACCAGCTCCCGGGCTCGCTGCACCAGGAACTCGCAATCCCCCTGGGCGGACATGACCCAAGAGCCCGCGATCCTCCGGCGCCAGCCCCGGCCACCCAGACCTTCCGGCCACCGGAGAACTCAGGCCACTGGCCGCCGCGGGAGACCACTGCGCATGCCCGGAGGAGCGCCGAGCGCGCGAACTGGATCCAAGGCTTTTTCCGGGCTTTGCGAGCAACCGCCTCCCGGCGCCGGTCTGTGGCGGTGCCGCACGGTGATCTTCTGAGACGCCGTCATCCTATTGGTCCTCCAGGGTCGTCTCCAAAATACGGAGAGGTGGATTTGCCTTCTGGTGGGCTGCCGCGGGACGCTGCCGCAGGTCAGGAGCATGCGCAGTAGCCATCTGAGCGGCTCGAGTTTGCGACTAGACCTGCGGACTAGGGGTGTAGAGTCCCTCGGTGCCCCTCCCCCCCCACCCGCAGGCATGGTACCCGGGACGGGACTGGGAGGAAGCTGGAGGGAGAGTAAACCTCAAAGGAGCAATCAGAATGCACCCCCGGCCCCAGCTTCAGTGTGCTGCATCTGGATAATCCTGCACCTTTGCTTTCAGTCTCTGATTTCCCAGCAAAGGTCGAATAGTTAATGTTTGCAAACTGCTTGTCTGGATGTTAGGGGAGTTATAAAGATGAAAACAAATCATCTCACCAGCGAGGGCTTTGAAGAAATCTAAGGTTCTAGATGCACAGCCAATAGGAAAAATAGCTCAATCGTCTCCTCCAACCAGAACCGTGGATTCTTCCTCCACCTAGGTCACTTTCACTCCAGATTTCCATTTGAAAGAAACAAAAAATTCCTCCCTGCTCCACTGACGAGAACGCAGTATTCATTAGCTAAATAGAAGAAATGTTCCCCAAAGTAAATACGGGATATTAGATTTTCAAACAGATGCGTTGCATACCTAATGTTGTCGACTTCTCTGGCAGTGAATCGGCTCTGTGTGTGTATGTGTGTGCCAGCGCGCGCGTGGGGGGCGTGCATACGTGTGAGCTCTGGGTTTTGAACTCAGAATCAGGGAGCTGTCCAAGAGCGCTTGTGCTCAAAGCTAGTCCTCAACCACTTGAGCCACAGTTCCACTTCTGACCTTTTTTCTCTTCTTTTTTCTTTTTGTAGCTAATTGGAGATGGATGAGTCTTAGGGACGTTCCTGTTCTGGCTGGCTTCTAACCACAATCCTCAGATCTCAGTCTCTTGAGTAGCTAGGAAATAGCCCCCAGGCACTAACATTGACATTTAAGACCAGAAGATAAAAGATTCAAAGCTAAATACTTACGTGTTTTACTATAAGTAAATAAATAAATAAAAGGATAAAAGAACGTGTAGGGTAGAGTGTGTGATATGCATATATCAAAAAAGGATAATGAAGACTGTTAAAAAGCATTTTAAAAAGAGGAGTAGGGAGGCTGGGAACGTGGCATAGTGCCTAGCATGCATAAAACCCTGGATTTGATTCCTTAGTAAGCAGAAAAATCCAGAAGTGGTGCTGTGGCTCAAGTGGTAGAGCACTAGCCTTGTGCTCAAGAGCTGTGGGACAGCACCCAGGCCCAGAGTTCAGGCCCCTCATGACAATAAATAAATAAATAAGCAAGCAAGCTCAGGGTCAGCACCCAGGCCCTGAGTTCAAACCCCAGTACTGGAAGAAAAAACAAAAGAAAAAGGAAATAAAAAGAGGAGTAGGGATAAAATTGAGTAATATGTGAGGTGAATTGGGTCCAATCAACTATATACACATATGTAAATATTACAGTGAAACCCAATTTTACAATTAATATTTCTTCATAAAGGAAAAATATTGTTGGAATATATTACTTTTAAATCCAATTCCACTTACATAATTCTGATTTGTTGAAATAAAATAGAATAAATAAAAATAGTACAAATAAATAAAAAGGGGCTGGGAAGGTGGCTCAGTGGTAGAGTGCTTGCCTTGCATGCATGAGGCCCTGGGTTCAATTCCTCAGCACCACATAAGCAGAAAAATCCAGAAGTAGTGCTGTGGCTCAAGTGGTAGAGCACTAGCCTTGAACTTAAGAGCTGAGGGACAGCATCCAGGCCCAGAGTACAGGCCCCATATATAAATACATAAATACATAAATAAATAAATAAATAAAATCTCCCTTCCAAAAATAAACTGTAGAAACTGCTGAATATGCACATGGAAATATGTCTTTTAAATCAACACAAATGAATACATTACTCCAGTGAACTAAAGTTCTCTAAAGAAGTTGTATCTACTTTACAGATGCTGCAGACTGTTCAGCTTGGTGATTGTGGAGAGATGAAACTGTGTAGGAGGCTGATTTAGGGCTTAGACCAGCCATGTACCCTGTCTATCTAAACTAGCATTCTTCTAAATAATAGGAAATTTGGAATGTACCATTTATACTCAACACACCTCCGTTTTCCACCATCCCTACAGCTAATAATGCTATAAACTAAGCCTGAAACCCGAGGAAAAGGCTTCCCCTTCCTTTTGCTGTGGCCCACCTACCAATGCAGTCAATATAGGTTGTGAATATACTTATTTATGACTTGTTCTTGTTCTGTGACTTTTTGTTCTTGTCACCTCTTCCCTGGTGGAGCCCATCCTTTGAGGGAACTCCAGTCTTTGTCCCCAGCCAAGCCTACTCATATTTGACTCCCCCAAAAACCTATTATTTCTTTTAAAAGAATCACTAATCTATGTCAACACTATAGTGGTAATATGCCAAGTGTAAGCTTACTAATGCTGCTTATATAGAAAGAATTTGTAGACTCGTTTTAGATTTAAGTATTGAAAAGGACAAACACAAAGGAATATTATGTAAAATATCAAAGTCATCAATTAATAGCCCAATGAAAGCACTAGGGTGTGGCCAAGTGTAGAACAACTTCCTGGCAAGTCTTGTAAGCCTCAAGTTCAAATCCTAGTACTAAAACATAAGTAAATTGAAACAGAAAATGAAGTTATGAAATGTGTGCATGTGTGTGTGTGTGTGTGTGTGTGTGTGTGTTTATGCCCATACTGGGGCTTGAACTCAAGGCCTCACATTCTCCAATCACAGCTGGTATTCTGCCGTTGAACCACCTTTCCAGTTCCCAGTCATGGAAAATTTTCAGGCCTCACCCCTTACTCTTTTGTTTTTTTCTAAATTTTTTAATTGTTATTCTGAAGGTGATATATTGAGGGATTACAGTGACATAAGTCCGATAATGAGTACATTTCTTTTGGGACAATGTTACCTCTTCCCTTACACTCTCCCAGTTTTTCCCTCCCGGCCTCACCCACAAGTTGTATAGTTCATTATCAGCATCCTTACTCCAGGTTTTTCCAAACTTGATTTTGTCTCATTAGTATCCGAGAGCATAGCTAGGCTGAGGCTAGCTGGGGTTCACTGTTCAAGCGGGGTCAGGCTGTGTGTGGGGATGTGTGTGTGGGGATGTGTGGGGGGTGTCAGCTCTCAGGCAGCTTCTATGGATTCTGCAGGTGTTATTTATCTTCCCAGGCAATTCCTGGCAGCCTAATTGTGCAATCATGCTCCAGACCAGGATTGCTCCATGACAGAATATTGTTGTCTTTGCAGAATGGAAAAAGGTGGAAAACTGAATTTAAACAAAGATCAGGATAATTTTTGTCTTTTGAAGTATAGCCACAGCAGTAGATTGCTAGCCAGGCACTGGTGGCTCACATCTGTAATCCTACCTGCTCAGATTGCTAGCTTGGGTAATTTTTTTCATTACTTTCTTGGCTTAATAGATGAGGCACTATGTAAGAATTTTTGAATGGCAAACTGTTCCTTGGGGGTCCTGGGAGTGGAATCTAAGGCCTTCTACTGGCTAGGCCAGTGCTCTCCCATTTGAGCCCCTCCAAGTCCACCTCCCATCACAGGTGTGAATGGCAGGGTAGCAATAAAATTTAGCATCAGGTTAAATACTTTCTCTTGATGATTGACTTTGTTAAAATAATTAATAAGAAGGAAGTACTTGGAGCTGGGTGCCAGTGGCTCACACCTGTGAGCCTAACTACTCAGGAGGCTGAGACCTGAGGATCACGGTTCAAAGCCAGCCCGGGCAGGAAAGTCCAGGAGACTCTCATTTCCAGTAAACCACTAGAAAACCAGAAGTGATGCTGTGGCTCAAGTGGCAGAGCACTTGCCTTGAGCTAAAGAGCTGAGGGACAGCACCCAGGCCCAGAGTTCAAGCCTCATGACCGACAAAAGAAAGAAAGAAAGAAAGAAAGAAAGAAAGAAAGAAAGAAAGAAAGAAAGAAAGAAAGAAAGAAAGAAAGAAAGAAAGAAAGAAAGAAAGAAAGAAAGAAAGAAAGAAAGAAAGTGCTTGGCCTACCACAAAATAGAACTGTTAAAATATACAAACAGACAAACAGACAGGAATTCAAGCAACAAATAAGGAAAGGCCCACACCAGCACCAGCACCAGTGCCAGTAGCTCATACCTGGTGTCATAGCTACTCAGAAGTCTGAAATCTGAAGCCAGCTCAGGCAGGAAGGTCCATGGTAGAGAACCAGTCTTCAGCAAAATAGCTAAGGGATAGTTCAAGCCCCAGTACCTACACACAAAAAAAGAAAAAAAGAAAAGGCCCAGTTTAGAGAAGCCAGTAGGCGGAGTTGCCTGTTTTCCTTCTATAAGATAATTAACTTTTCAAATGACCCTTCTGCTTTTCCTTTGGATCCTGAATTCTGCAGCTCTTTTCTGCCTCAGTGGTCAATCCCTCCAAGCCCTTATGGGTTGTTAAGGCACCAAATGCTGTCCAATTCTAGAGTGTCATATAAAAGCCAAGTAGATCTTTAAAGCAAATGTGTTTTCCTTTTGATTTTGGAAGGTCTCTTAAAATCCTGTGGTGACTAAAACCGATGAAGTGTATTAACAATAGTGGTGCAGTGGGTAGCTTGTCTCCTCTGTTTCTCTGTGGTCATCAAGCTGAGCAAATTCCAGCTGCCCACAGTGGTCTGAAGGACAGTCGTTGTTGGTTTTTATCTCTCTGGCTCCCACAAGTCATTCTAAGGACAATTAGAGCTGCCTGTCAGGGGGGTGGGTCCAGTGGATTTACAATTTGCTATTGTGATTGTCTGAGATTGATTCATATTTAATTTCCACTTCCTGTGGAA